CTCACCACAATATTTTGGTACCTAACTAATATAGGTATAAGAGAAATGTATGGTAACATGTTGGTAATAGGGAACTTGAATGTTTGTTTTATTGCCACTGACAAACCTCTGATAAGCAGCATAAAAATATGGTTTGTTTGAAAGGGTTGCCAGAAGAAAGTCTCTTCTCTCTAAAAAGAACATGGCAGCATGGCTTAGGTTTGTAAAGTTGCAACTGAACAAACCACAGGCCTTCTGGAACAATGTCCTTTGGACAGAAGAGATCAAAGTGAAGATGTTTGTCCATAATGCACAGCACCACGTTTGGTGAAAACCAAGCACAGCATGTCAGCACAAACACCTCATACCAACTGTCAAGCACTGTAGTAGAGGAGTGATTATTTGGGCTTGTTTTGGAGTCACTGGACCTGGAAACCGTACAGTCACTGAGTAGACCTTAAAGCTGGGTCAAAATTAGGTCATGCAAAAGGATTATGATCCAAAGCCCACTAGTAAGTCTACAATGGAATGGCAGTCAAAGTCCTGACCTCTACCCGATTGAAATGCTGTGGCGGGTCCTTAAGAGAGCTGTGCATAAACAAATGTCAGCAAACCTCAATGAAGCAAAGAAATGTTATAAAGAAGAGGTGGCCAAAATTCCTTCAAAATGATGTCAGAGACTGACAAAGTCATTGAATCATGTGTACCTAGTTTTTCACACATTGCTTCCTTATTTTGCCTTTACTTTTGTCAAATAAATCATGACACGGTGTAATATGCCATGTGTTGTTGTTCATCTGAGGTTGTATTTACCTAATTTAAGACCTGCTAAGGAACATTGTCATTGTGTCCTGATATGTAAAACCATAGAATTCAAAGATGGCGTACTTTATCCTATGATTGTATATAGTGGATGCAGAGTGTGTGTAGTGGATTCAGTATGTTTATAGTGGATGCAGAGGGTGTGTATAGTGGATGCAGTGTGTATATAGTGGATGCAGTGGATGTGTTAGTGGATGCAGTGTATGTATAGTGGATTCAGTTCAGTTTATGTATTAGTGGACGCAGTGTGTTTTTATGTAGTGGATGCAGATAGTGTGTATAGTGGATGCAGTGGATGTGTTAGTGGATGCAGTGTGTGTTTATGGTGGATGCAATGTGTGTGTGTGTGTGTGTATAGTGGATGCAGATGGTGTATATAGTGGATGTATTATGTTTATAGTGTATGCAGTGTATGTGTAGTGGATGCAGAAGGTGTGTATAGTGGATGCAGTGTGTGTATAGTGGATGCAGTGTATGTATAGTGGATGCAGTGTATGTGTAGTGGATGCAGAGGGTGTGTATAGTGGATGTAGTGTGTGTTTGTTTAGTGGATGCAATGTGCACGTTTGTGTCATGGATGCAGCATGTGTGTAAATATGTGGGGTAGGATAGAGTCTGCATTTTGTGGGCAAAAAGCTTTTTATTTTTAAAAAAATATTATTTAATTGTAATTTTATTCCCCCTCTCAACCTTTTACCTGTGGCCAGAGAGAGGGGACATTACACCACTCCTTGGTGGTCCAGTTGTATTGTGCAGGCTGTAAGCTGCCATAGAGTGAAGAGACGGGCCAGCAAACATAATCTTCCCCTTGTGGCAGGTCCTGAATATCTCTTGTGAGCCCAGCATGCATGCCATGTGGAATGTTGCCCCATGACATTGGGAATCTGCTGCAGGGGGGAGATGGTGCTTAGTGGGCTCCCTCTTAACTATACATGCAGCCAGTGACCAAGGGGCATGTAGAGAAATATATATATATATATATATATTATGCACATTTGAAATGTGGGGCCCAGGTCCACCATGCCCCGTAAGGCAGCTGCATCGGCTGTACCCCCCCAATGGCGGTCCTGCCTGACACATATAACCAAAACAGTCTGTTTAAGTGCTCACAAACTATTTCTGTATTTCACACTATTGAAATTTTAAGATTTTGTGAAGATTGGGAGAGGATGGAGTTTAGGTCCAGAAAAAAATGAATACAGTTTTACCTTTTTAACTTATGAAGCTTTTCACATGTTGTGCCCAGGAATGGCTACTGGGAAATAGAAAATTCCAATTCCTAACCATATAAATATTGCTGAGGTTAGATGGATTGTAAACTGCCTCAACTCTAATTTCTTATAATGCATCAGTAGATTATACCTGTAGACTTCCAATATTGGCAATATTGATGTATGTTCAATAACTCTACCTATTCATCAAAAGAACTCATGTTTTTTCCAGGCTCAATGATGACAGTATAAGCAAAATATTAACAGTCAATAAATAAATAAATAAATAAATCCTTGTGCTTGGCTGCCAAAAGCTAAATCTCCCCCTCGAGTTTTGCTTAAAAGCTGCTACCAGTCTTCCACAGAGAGATTAGATGTTTTATCACTCCAAGGCTAGGTGATCAAAGGCATAGGTTGAGCAAATCAACCCAGGGCATGCTCTATAACGAGGGAGATTTCGCAAAGCATAATGGAAGCAGTTGATATAACAGTGACTTGAAATGAATGTCAGAAAGAATTCTGGGTGGTATAAGATAGATTTGTGTAAAATCTTCATCAACTTTAATAAGTTAATAATACAAATTTTCACTGAAAAGGCATTTTCAAAGTAGCTGTTTCCACAAAACAATCTTCTTAATGTTCTATCCTCAAGGCTAGTTCTCACTGTAATTCTTTACTTTTATTCAATCATATTGTATTAAAGATAAATGTTCAAAGAGTCTGTGGAATACTGGACAAGTTTACACATTTATTATTCAGCCAAAGCAACAGATTTTATAATCAAGAACTTAACATATTTGTAAAAAAAAGATATTAAAAATGATCTGATTCTCTAAACTATTAAAAAATTATATACAGATTTAAACAGCTGCAGTAATTAGCAATTTACAACTCTCAATATTGCTCAAAACAATTCTCATGGGAATCTTTAAAGAAACACTGTACGCATCATAATCACCATAGCTTTGGTGGTTTTGGTGTCAAGAGCGCCCTATTGCCCTCTCTGAGTAAGCAGTCAAACCCATTAAGACAATATTTTTTTAGGGACTATAACCATTCTAAATGGTGTTGAATAATGATCATTATTTTATATATTTGTCTTTCACTGTATTTAGATGATTTGCCGGTTTGACAAGGTTCGATCCTTTCCTTACTCAGTGAGACAGATAGGATTGGATTTAATAATTTTTAGATATACGCTTTTAAATGGTTTCATATTTTTGGTTAAACTTTTAAACTGATTTAATACTTTTAAAAAATATTTTATTATTTTAATATTTTTTTCGGATATTGCTATATTATTTATTTATAATATATATTTTTATATGTTTTAGTATTTCGCAAAAAATACATCAAATTAAAAGTTTATCCAAAAATGTATATATTTTTTTATTTACATTTTTTTTTATTTTTGCAGTGCATATAGAAAAAAGACGAATAGGCTTACAATGCCCCAACAGCCAATAGCTAGCACACCAACAATAACAGTGAAATAGACAAGATACATTGTGAGAGTACAGCACTAGTTTTTTGTTTTGGTTTATTCAGGTTAGTCACATATGTCTAAAGTGAGTAGGTTCGTCTAAGTGAAAAAATTAGCAAGACTTGTTAGACATGGATATTAGTTGCATTAAAATAATATATGTTATATAACATGTTTAACTTGGTAGTGTAGCTACTTTAAAGTAGGGTTAGAACAGGTGAATCAAATGGTAGCTGGCCAGACAATTGTAAAATAAAATAATAATAACAGCACTATAAAATGTAAGAGTATAACCCCGAAGAAGCCCCTTTGTAGGTGGCCTAATAGGAGAGGCATGCGGTGTGTGTCATGAGATGCAAAAACATACTTATTTAGTGTAGTAAAGACATTAAGGACTGAACAATATGACAGGTGGGGCCCCCATTAAAGTAATCTAAGAGGGTTAAGCAGTGGTGTACACACAACCCATGGGGCCCCGGTGCAAAAACTGATCCGTGGCCACCCCCCCCACGCGCTTACTCTGCGCGGGCTGGGGCCGCAACACATGACGGCGGGTACCTGGTCGCAGGTGTCACAGGGGTCGCAGGGCTGCGACCCCTGCGACCGCGGTATGTACGCCAATGCATGCAAATACACATACACTTAAAGGACCACTACAGACACCCAGATCACATCAGCTCAATGAAGTGGTCTGGGTGCCAGGTCCCTCTAGTTTTAACCCTGCAGCTGAAAACATAGCAGTTTCAGAGAAACTGCTATGTTTCACTGAGGGTTAATCCAGCCTCTAGAGGCTGTCTCATTGACAGCCGCTAGAGGAGCTTCCGCGATTCTCACTGTGCAAATCACAGTGAGAAGACGCTGAATGTCCATAGGAAAGCATTGAGTAATGCTTTCCTATGGGCGGTTTGAATGCGCGCGCGGCTCTTGCCACGCATGCGCATTCAGAGCTGAGAGGCGGATCAGGGCGGAGAGATCCCCACCGCCAAGGGAGTCCGGCGCTGGAGAAAGGTAAGTGCTTAAGACACACACACACACTCTCACGAACAGACGCATATACACTAGCTAACAGACACACACATTTACTGACAGACACACACTCAATGACAGACATACATACACACTCACTGACAGACAGACACATACACACTCACTTACAAAACACACACTCACTAACAGACGCACACAAACTAACACACTCAGTAACAGACACACACAGTAACACACTCACTGACACACTAACACTAACACACACACACGCTCTAACACACACACTAACACACACACACTCTAACACACACTAACACACACACACTAACATACACACTCTAACACACACACACACACACACTCTAACACACACACACACACACACTAACACACACACACTTTTTTTTAAATGTAATACCCCAGCCTCCTTACCTGTGGGAGAGCTGAGGGGATTCCCTGGGGTCGAGTGGTGCTGCTGGGCTCCTGGGCGGCCAGTCACCGGGCTGTCTGGCTGGCAGGCGCGAGTGAGCACTCTCCCCGTGTGCCCCCTCTTCAGCTCCCTTGTGCGCCGCGTAGTGATGACGGAGCCGGAAGATGATGTCATCTTCCGGCTCCGGTATCAGTGCAGTGCGCGAGGGAGCTGAAGAGGGAGCACACAGTGGAGAGTGCTCCACAGGCGTTCCGCAGGATCTAGCTGGTAGCCACAGCTGGTGTCTCACAGACGGTCCAGAGGAGGGGAGTAAGGGGGCATATGCACAGTGCTGGATGTTGCTGGGTGATTCCGGCCTGAGAGATAGGCCGCTTCTCCCACCTAGTGCTGCATAGGCTGCAGGGTTCAATCTTTGCTGAAAACAAGTTCCAGTCGAATCACTGACCTCAGCAGCCTGCTTCAGCTAGGTCGAGAATCAGGTAAGTCGCTTGGCATTAGTTAAATCAGGCTTGTAGTGTCAGAAAACAGCTTTTATTGTCAGTATAGGAGAGAAGCTCAAGCAAAACACATCTCTCCGCCATGGCAGTCAGGCCCCGTCTCCTTTATCCAAAAATATTAAATAATTTGAAAAGCATATCCAAAAATAGTAAATCAAGGCCATATTTAATAGATGTGTGCATGGTGAGAATATTTTACTCGACATAACCATTTTCAATAAAAGTAGAAAAGTTTTGAATGCTCAAATTTTGGCCGAATGACAGTTAATTTATGGCAGAATTCATGAACCAAAACAGATGAACCAAAAGGGGCAAAAAATTGCCAATCCATGGAATACACACATAATCTAAGTACTGTATCTATTTTGCCATACATTGATAAGAGCATTTTCCCACCATTTGGTTCATAGATCAAGATGATTCTGATACATTTTGGTTCAGAGTTCGGAAAGTTAAACAATTGGCCCAAATCTGGACGAATTGCAGTTCAGCCCGAAATTAATCTCCAAGTTTAATAGTTAGTGTAATATGTGAAAATATTTTCTTTAAAGCTGCGTATCATACCGTCCACAAGTCAATAGTGAAAAAAACTAAAGCAGACATGCAATCATGAGGTTTTTCGTTGTTTTTAAAATGAATTATTACAGAGCATGTTGCTGGGTATGAGAAGGGATACATAAATTAATCTGATAATGAGATATTTCACATTGTGAAGGTTGAATAGTAAAAGAGGAGCATTATTTTCTCCATATTATTCAGTTTAATGTTGCTATAATGTTGAAGCTGACAACCAAATTATGAGACTGGACAATATAGCACAAGAGTACTACAATAATTATATAATGCATGGAATGTAGGTTCCTTAGAGAACCTAATTACATCCTTATTGCAGGCAACCTTGTGTTACTCACAAATGCAATTTGAAAGAATGCTAGAGATTAGGAGTTGCCTTATTGCAGTAATTATCAGACGTTGAGCTAAATGCAATCACTGGACAACAATAACAACAGAACAATTATGCTTTTAGATATAAAACAGCTATGTGGATTTGTCATATAGATCTTACCATAATTACTGTCCAATTATAGTAAATTGTGTTCAATTTTACCTTTGTAACATTAATCCCATTATTTTCCATGTGGTCAGATTGATTTCATGATTATATTCGGTATATACTGTAGCTTTAGCAAACATACTTATCTGTTTTATATTTAGCAGTCTTGTGCTTTATTATTGACATTGGTGTTTTGTTTTTTGTTTTTTAAATCTCAGCCTTTGGCACCAGTACTTGATAACAGTACAATTCTAGCTATGTTATATTTTTATTTTTATATATTTTTTTAAATATGTTCCAAGTTAAAGGTGAACTACTTACCAAAATTATATAACTGCTACTTCCCAAGATCAATATATATTTAACAATTTTGTATTTGTGAGGTGTTACTTGTAAAATCAAATGTAGAAATTAACATCTCTTTATTCAGCAACTGGGCGCATCCATCTTAAATTGTTGTGGGGCTGGAGGGAGGCAGAGATATTCTGACATGTGGCTGGAGGAAGGTGAAGTTTAGACAATATGAGGGCGGAGTAATGATGTTATGGGTGGTGGTGGAGTTACAATGATTGACCAATCACATGATGGTCATTTAGATGAGGAATGTGATTCAAAATGCAATCCAAAAAGCAGTAGGTTGCCTAAGACAAAAATCATTTAAAAAAGTTTAAAAAGCCATTTTCTAAAAATTTTCAATATACTTGGTTTAGTTTCATAGTATATTACAAAACTCAGGACAAGAATTCATTTCCTCTAAAACAATTTTTTTGTTTTCAGTTGTCATCGAATTTCTACATGCAACTCCATGAGGAGCATTTACAATGTTTTATTCAAATGGTAATTTACGTGACTTCTCTCACCTATGCACAATAGATGCGTAAAAAAGTGAAACAGACAATAACTGAAAAAAAAACTAATTTTAGCATATGTTTTGTGACGAAAGCAACTTCGCCACTGATTTTTGGAGGGGCCTGTTTGCCAGCCTCCTACCCTGGGACTATGGGCCCTGTGATAACCCATGTTTAAAAGTACTGTTTCTGCCCCTTGGACTTTTAACTGGAACAGATTCAAACATATGGCAGCGGCCATCTTAAATTGTCCCTCAGTTTTGTTATTTTGTCGTCAAGTGTATGGAACTGTTTTGGACATGGGACCATGTGCACGGTGGGTCAAAAATAAGACTTCCAGGAAATTTCTGAACCCCTGAACCAATATAGGTAATTTTTGGATATGTTGTTCACCCAGATCGGGGCTATCAAGGGATGTGCCACGGGTTACCGTGGCCATGCTCCGCGCGGCACGCAGACCACGAGATTTACAATGGGAGCTGAACAGCACGGAGGAGAGGGGAGCTGAACGGACCTACAGTATGTCACACACAATATTCTGCTGTGATATTTCTGGATGTTATTAGAATTCTAATGATCCCCCATGTATGTATTTCACCCTTATTGTGTACAGTATTATCCATAATTTTTCTTTAAAAAAATCGTTTTCCTCTATGCATGACAGTAAAGGCAAATGCCTTAATTGAAACAATTTACTCTCATAAGCAAATTTTTATATAGAACGTTTTATTCTTTTAATATTTACTATTCTGAGGTTGTGTTTATATATCTATAACGTTTATGCACTTTATATGTTCCCCCTCCCCTCTTATGGGCAAATATATTTTTTAGACAGCTGAGTCATTATTGATACAAATGGAATATCACAGTATTTCCCATATGCTGCCACATTTATTTATGTTTCTAACCAAACACCCCACACCAATATTATTCATATGGTCTATCTTTTATTTTCACTAGTATAAATATCTACAGACCTTATATGTATAATACTACTTCACTATCTAAGTATTGTTTAAATACTTTACTAAAAACTTGTCCCCCTGTTTTTTCCCTTCTTTCCCTTTTTTTATTCTACATGATGCCCCATTCCAAAATGATTGAAAGCATACTTAGGCATTTGCACATTTGAAAAGCCGCGTAACGTAATTTCCGGTATGACGTCACACCCACTTTGGAGTGTTAACCATATACTCTATGTACCGATAAGAGGGCATAATCATGCTAACTATGAAACAACACCACCTCATCTCCTTCCTCATAAACAGGACTATGAATACATCATTGGAACTGCAACAAAGCTGTTTTCGGCTCGTATGCATTCCAATGACTATGGCGGATAGACGCTACGTCACTTCCGGTTTGACGCGTGCGTTCCACCATGGCTACAGGAACCTTCAATCAACACACCAGGAAGCTATCATCCATTAAGAGGCTGCTTATATAAACGAAACTTGGAGAGGACTACACCACACTTCTGAAGAAGCCTCTAGAGAGGCGAAACACGTTAAGTGGGACTTTTTGAGCACTTATATTGTTATTTTAATACTTTCTTATATGGTTAATAAATAGTGTATTTTACTATATATTTACACGTTTTTATTTTTTCATTCATCACTTCCTGGTACCATCAATATCCTTAGGTGGAGATTATACCACCCACATTCTATATACCAGCGCAAGGTCTTGCTCTGGGAAATGTGAGTACATTTTATTCTTTCTTTTATTCAATTTTATATATATTTATTTCACCATTGGAGTATTCTACATATTTATCTCCACATATGACGTATATGCTGTACTTCATCTTAGCCACTCCAGGACATCCTTTTCTGCATATATCCTTAGAGGGGGATTGTTCCATCCATGCGCTGGAACAGCAGAGCTCGAAATAGCTCTATTAAATGTGAGTGTAAATGGTTACACTCACATTTAATAGAGCTATTTCAGATAGATAGATCACTAGATCACTCACCACATATTCATTGTATAGACTGTATTATGATATTATTGTCTCATCTATGTTTTTCTGAGGTCCAATACGTGTATTCATTCAAAGATCTGTGTACGTATTAAGGTTTATTTACTACTATCTGGGCACGGTTACTTATCTTTTTTTTTTTTCACGCCCCTTTCCTAACCTGGAGCTCAGGTTCCGCTCGGGCTCACCTTGAACTGGCACATAGATAGCGAGCTAATATTAGGTACAGACTGCCTTACAAGCACCCTTGTTGTCCCCCTGGCACCTTGGATAACTCATAGCACCAGCAGAGTACTACTGGGCCATCAGAGAAGGTAATCAAGAGGGAGGGAATGGACATACATACACACTCTTCACTCAGATGCACCTACACAATTCAGTCACCACACAGACACGATCAGTCTCACCCTTCTCAACACACTCAATACTCTGTCACAACACTCAGTCAACACACACACAGGGGTCTACCTAGGATCCGGGGCAACCATAATCCAGCTCTGGTTATTACCTTATAAGAGTATAGTTAGTGTGATAAAAAAAGAATTGTTTAAATAGAGTTAACTTCAAAGAACATCAATAAGCCCTAATAACACTTCTCAAAATTCACCTAAATATCTTATGATAGAGCACATATATAAAGCAAATATTGTCCCTACCATTTACTCCACACGATCGGCGTTCAGGTAAAGGAAGGTCTCTGCGATTTCTGTGTGCATTGTGTATTTCTCTCTTGTATATGACATGTTTATGACTCTTTCTTGCTGCTTGTGAAGAATTTGGGAAAGGCTCAATAAAATAGTCTCCATGGGAAAGGCGAAAAAATCCAGTCTGAAAGAGATTACCAATACGAGATATGAAAAAGGTCCTTTTC